GGATGCACTGTGCATTTTGGGTCCCACCAACTCCCTCAGTTTTTAGATGAGGCGGGGGGCAACCTGCTATTTACTTAAGTGGTTTTGAACCTTCTCATTCCTGGACTTGATCTCAAGTTGTATTCCTTTACCTACAAAAGCCTCAAAGTTTTCCTTCATTATAGCTAAGTGGTTCTCTATTGCACATAAGTATCCTGTCTTTCCAACCTATCTGTAGGTGTTGGTCGAGTTGCCCCTATTTCTCTCTGGTTCCCTGTCACATAGAGCATTTTCTCATATTTGATTTTAATCCATAAACCCTTTTTTAGGTTAATTATATTTCCTATACAGAGCATCTCGGTGGACCCTACCTCCTGATCTACTCTTCCTATGTTCCTTTTTTCTTTCTTTTAAGTGTATGAAGGCCATCTATGTTAGAGATTATAGCCAACCTTTGCTGCCTCATTTCTGCTATGCTATTTTTCTGCCATTAGTTGTCTACTTTTCTCCTTCATTATACTTTCTGCTCCATTCATTAAGGCCCCTCTGCTACTGGTCCTGATATCTTGTGGTATTTTTTTCTCTCTCTAGAATGTCCTTCAGTATTCTCTGTAGGGTTGGATTGGTGGTCACGAATTCCCCAGTTCCTCTTTGTCATGGAAGCATCTTGTTTCTCCATTAATTTCTAGAGACAATTTTTCAGGGTACATCAATCTGGGCTGGAGCTTATTTTCTTTCAGGGCTTGGAATACTTTGCTCCAAGCTCTTCTTGATTTGATGGTCTGTGTTGAGAAAGTCTGCCGTGATTTTGATGGGTTTTCCTTTATAGGTGATCTGTTTCTTTTCTCTGATGGCTTTTAATATTCTGTTCTTGTATTTTGAATTTCTGGGATGTTGATTATTATATGTCTGAGTTAGCTCTGTTTTGATTGTAGGTAGCTAGAGTTCTGTATGCATCAGACACCTGAATATCATTTCCTTTTCCTATGCTTAGCAAGTTTTCCTTAATTATTTCTGTGAATAGCCTTTGTATTTCCTTTGTTTTTCTTCATTCACATTTTTTACTCTTGTTATAAACCTCATCTTTTAGCCTTTGTATTGTTATTGCCTGTTTCCTTGTTATTTTTATGAGATCTTTCCTTTCATGATCACACATTGCAAACCTGTCTTCAAGATTTGATAGTCTATCCTTAGTTTCTTTCAAGCAGTTTTGCCAGCTTTTAATGGAGTTTTTAATTTCTTGGTAATCTCTTTGAATCTGCTTCATGTATTCTAGATTTTCCTTATATTCTTCATCAAACATTTCTCTCATTTTTTTATGTTCCTCCATTCTTCCATCTGTGTCTTCTTGAGAGGTGCTTAGCATTTCTTTTATTAATCTACTTACATCTTACTTTACTTGAATATTTTTGAGCTCATCTATGAGGTCCTGAAGATATCTCTTTATGTCCACTGATGCCGTGTCTGATATTGCATGTTTGCTGCCCTCAGTCTCTTTTGTATTTATGTCTCCTGGATTCTCAGGGTTGGGGGCTGGGAGCTTTTTCTTATCTCTTTTTCTTATCATGTTTTTGGTTTCTTCCATACAGGTATATAGTGGAGGTCCCAGCCCCTTTCCTTATTGTTTATGATTTTTCTGAAGTGTGCTGGCTAGGAATTTATGCCCTCTCTAGTTTGCTGTTGGTCATTGAGGTGCAAGCAGGGGTGGCATATGCTGGAGGGGTCCAGGCCAGTCAACCTGCAGGGGCCTTCACTGCATTAGTGTGTGCTGTGTATATGGAATTGGTTTGGGATGACTTACTGGGTCCTGGCCAGAGGCATGACCCAGACCAAACAGATTCCATTAATCTGCTCTGGGAAGGGGGCAACCGACTGAAGTCACTGCTGTTCTTTGTTCCTGCTTGTCCTGCCCAATTCCAACATGTTATCCAGTTGGTCACCCCTTTCCCATGAGAGGATCTTATTCTGTGCACTAACCACATGTTTGTGCTTGTCTCCATGCTGGCTCTGGTCTCCACTGTGCTTGCCGAACTCTGACTTCAGTGCAACCATGGCTCTGGTGAATCACATGGCTCAGGTGACTCTGGCAAGTCATGGTGGCAGGAGTATGGGTGAATCCGGTGAGAGCACATTGGCTGCTAATCTTAGCTTCTCCGCTGGTAGCCCTGGGACTTTGTGTTTGACTAGCTCTTTTTCCTTCAGTTTCTTCCTGGGTCAAGAGGATCCATCTCCCTCTGTCCAGATCTCTCCAGGATGTTTTATTCCAGCATCTGAGTTCTCTCTCTCAAGGAGCCTCTGCATGCTGCTGCTTACTGATCTGACATCTTTGTGAGACTCCCTGGGATACTTAAGAATGGGAATATTATAGGTGCTGAGTTAGATAGAAATATTATAGACAGTCAGACAACACTAAGCGTTTGAGGGAGCCAGTGCAGAGGACCAGATATCTTGTGACCTGGAAACTAGGAAAACTGTCATCTCTTCTTTCTCTTGGGCAAAGCAGGGTGACAGTAGGCAGGGCTGCTGGGCCAAGGAACCCTGCCTGTGATGGCACTGTTTTTTTTTTTTTTTTTTTAAATTTTGAGACAGGGTCTTGCTAAGCTACTTGAGTTGGGCTAGAACTTGTGCTCTCCCTGTTCATTTTGTTTTCAGTGTTCTAAAAACTCAGGACTTTTTCAACCCATGGAAATGTTCTCCTATTACTTCACTGATGATTTCCTTCTTTCTGTTTTTTCGTTCTGGCAATGATGGGAAACACCACCACACCCTGCTTATTTGACTATTATTGTCTTAAATTACCTTATTCTCTAAATTACATGCTTTCTTAGATTTGCTATTAATGTATGCCCTTTCAAAACCCTGAACTTTTTCCACTTCTTTCAGGGAGTTTTTGGTACAGCTCTTTACTTTGTGTTAGTTTTATTTATTGCTTCTCTTCTGGGATGGTTGCACTTACATGCTTTGTGATCCTTGGTTGTCTATTCGTATGTGAGAAAGGTCTGAGGAATGGTGTGGGTTTTCTCTATCACCGTGTAAGTAGTTTTGTTTCCCTAAGAAGTTTTTACTCTGGCTGGGAACATGAATTATACATAATACATCATGGAAGGTGGACTGACAAACTGTACTTTAGATGAGAAGGCAAGAGTGGCATATTAGATTGTGGCCTCACAAATGCCATTGTAGGAAGGGCATTTTCCATAGAATTACTAGTGGTACATGAGTAACTTTAGTGTTTATCATGTAATTTGTTCAGTGCTCTCAGAGAACAGCTCTCTGGGTCCTAGTCCAAGAGTCTATTTTTGATTTATGTGAGGGAAATGGTAGTAGGTTCCAGGGAATACTTACCACTTCAGATCATCGTATGACATGCTTATTTTTGCTTCAGTGCCTATTTCTACCATTTACCATATACACAGACTCTCAGCAAGAATCTCCCAGGTTTCCACACACAGATTCAGTTTTTACATCCTCTGAAGCACTCTATGCCATCTGGACTAAATAATATTTGCTGGTTTCATGCTTTCCACAATATGCTTTCATATCTGCCTTTTATCTTCCAGGAACTTTCCGTAACCTCACCAGCTAGTTAACTCCTCCTATTCTCTTTGTGAATGGGTTTCTTCTTATACTTCAATAATTTTATTTCAATAGTCCCTCAGGAGAGACAGGATACAATCTGCCATCTTGAAGCACATCATAAATAGTTCAAAAAGGTTTCAATATAACTGTTTACTTCACCCAGGATCTAAGCTATATATTTGATTCGTCCCTCCAAAGTCTATCATCATTGAAATTCATTCATTCACTATCTAATAAACAGACTTTTTTGTTCTGGGGATCAAATTCACATCCTTGCACTTACCAAGCAAGCACTTGAGCCACTGAGCTAAATCTCCACCCCCTAACCAGACTATTTTTTCAGGTGCTACAGATCTAATGTTGAAAGATACACCTTACTCTATGTAATGAGTAGATGACACAGATGCAAAAACAAATAATTTCAACATTTCAACAAGAATTCAGTGAAGCAAAAGAACATTGGAGAAGACATACTTAAAGTTTCCTGAGGGATTCACAAGGAAATTTCTCATCAAATTCTGTGCCTGAAGGAAGAGTTGGAGGTTTCCAGACAATTGACAGTAAGGAGATAAAGGAGATAAGGGCAGAAAGACCAAGTGTGTAAGGAATGTAAGGAAAAGAGGACAGTACTGCGTAACTGAGAATAGTGTGAAGGATGAAATGCCCTGCTCTAGAAGTACTCACATGGGCACATCTATCAAGAACAGTTCTGCGTCATGATATAGGGAGACAGGTAGACATCTGAGTCGAAGGCATTACACATGTGCTAAGCAGCTTCTGCACTGTTCTTCAGAAGGAATAAAGGGATCCTAAGGATCAGATTTGGGTGAGATACAGAGGCTTCAATGGGCAGGGACATTATGAATATGTCAATGGCTGCACCATAGACTTGGTGTTTGCTATAACATAATGTTAAAAAGCCAAAACAGATGTCAGAAGTCACTAGTGCACTTAGAAGACGAGACCCTTTCTTCTAATGAATAAAGAGAAGGAACAAGTATTTAGCCAAAGGAAATTTCATAAATCTGAGTCTTCTTTAGCAGCATACTCACAAAAAGTCATGTAAGACCTCCTTCTTGGTACATTAAGGGGCCACCTTAAGAAATACTGAGAAAAGAGAGAAGTCTGAAAGACTGGACACTTTGTCCAATGGAGACCACATCATCCCAAAGAGACAATTTAAATTAGAATGATTCTTTACTCTTCGTCATCACCCTGAGGAAGTAGTACATAAAGGAACTGTATTTCAGTAGACTTTAAACTTAACAATTACTTCTGATTATTATTGGGATTATGGTATTTGATGGGCAACAACTTGTAATAAGGTTAAATCTTTTCTTGAATTACAGTTATCTTAGTCAAAGTTCAATACTTTTCCCATGGCTTCAGTTATAATTAAAATTTATTTCCAGCTCAAAAACAATGTGAAAAATTCCACGCACCTCTCTTTTTAGCCAGTTGTTCTCCAAGATCTCTCGATAACTGCTCCTGTCAATTAAACTTACAGCATTCTGAAAAAAGGAAGAGTTGCCACATGGTAATTCACAAGGTTAGCAAAGGGGATACACATTCATTTCAAATTATGCTTTGCAATTATTTTGAGAATGTGTAACATCTTTTCGTTTGGTTTTTTCTTTAGTCTTTTTGGGTTAATTTGCACATTCTACCACAGGTGAACTGGAGAAGTGGACAGAGTATGGTTGTCCATTCATTGGGCTCCACTATGACTGACTTTGACTGCTGTGGTGGAATCATCAATTAAGTGATCTGCTTCATAATTAAGATGTTAAATTGTAGTGATCAAGTATTTTTTATAGTTAGATGTAACTCAACATACATCAAATTTTCTGCATGTCATTAGTAACAACATACATGTGTACAGACCTAACAGCAAGTAGATCTAAGGTGGCAGGCTACAAGTGACACATTTCTAACTAAGGAGAGGCATTTTAGATAAAGACTATAAGAAAAACCTTGATAGTAGGTTCATAAGATGCACATTTGGTTTCAATTACTTGGATATTTATAGTTTCCCCCACAAGAATTTTATAGTAGATGTCACTGTTTTTCTCTGGAGATACTTTTGCAAAGAAGTTATGTTACACATTCAATATGCAGTAACTGAAGGGCAGACCTAGAGGAAGAGCAGCTAATATTCTAGAGGGAAAAATAAAGAAAAATATTCTAGATCAAAACCAAAGACAGAAATAAATACCATGTATTTAAATTTAAAGGATAAATTTATCTTTAAATCTTTAGAGTTTAAAGATTTTCAAATAAAAAATCTTTAAATCATGTTTATTAAACCAAGAAGAGTGAACATATATTTCATAGGAACCAGGAAGTTCTGTACTTCAACTACAACTGTTCTAGTTTCCTCTAACAAAATTTCAACAGAAGTAGGAAATGGTTCATAACTGAGGTTAGTTGACTAACAGTTTAATTCAGCAACAATGGAGAAGTAGTTTCAACTTCGTTTACACATTAGAATCTCCAGAGAGCTATGAAAAATCCATAAACCCATGCATCATTCCAGGGCAATTACACTAGGATTTCTAGGATTTCTATGGGTGGGACCCAGGCACACTTGGGTTAAAAAAACTACAGTTGCAGGTAACACACCCATGCTTAGCTAAAACTGCACAGTACTGGATTATAATGATGCTATAAATTGAACTGTAACAGCTGGCTGAGAGGAGGAAAATTCATATAAGCATGTGAGTATTCAACATCATGTAGAAAAAAGATAATGTATTGCGTAGTGATTATGAACAATGATTTGAAGGAGAGCTGAATTGGGTCTGGGTTCTCGCACTTGCTCTGGGCAAGTCATACTAATTTTCTTTGGCTCAGATTCCTAAACTAGCAAGTTCCTACATTGTTTAGAGTTGGCAAGAGATTTAACTATAACATGCTTATAAGAGTATTTGGGACAGTCCTCATGACATGCTTGAAGTTATAGGCTTATTTCATCTACATATACATTTTTAATAACTGTAGTTAGATGAATCAATGGTTGATTTCATCATTTAGCCAGATTCTGTCATTTAGCTGCATGGGAAGACAAACCATTGACCAGTTTCATATTCCTCTATGTTTTTGTAAATTAGTAGAAATCATGGTATAGAAGAATAACACTGTAAGAACAAGTGAACTAACAGGGGTGCAAGAAAAAGCAACTAAAATTCAGAACAGACTTTTTTAAAAAACCAGATATTTATAATTCTGAAGAAACAATGTTCCAGATAAAGGAACATTCACATACTGACTTAGGAGATAGTTTGATGATAGGAGGCTGTGTGTGCATGTGTGGGGAGGGATTTAGAAATTTTGTGTAAAAGAAATTAGAGAACATATTATACAATTGGAAATTTTATCTTAAAAAATGTTTTATATCCAAAACTTTTAAAACAACAGCAACATTAAGAGGGTACTCCTAGGCTTTTTCAGACAAATTATTTTTATTCTATAATTCATTCAACCTATTTAATATTTTAATCATGATTATTATACTTTAAAAATCACTAATTATTTCTTGTGAGACACTATGCTACTTATCTCATCCAATATTCAAAGTATTTCTATTTATTTATTGGTACCAGGGATCGAACTCACGACCATGTGCTTGCAAAGCAGGTGCTTATGCCGCTGAGCTAAATCCCTGGCCCTAAACTATTTCTTTAAGGTTAAATACTATTAGTATTCTTACTTTTATAGTAAAATTAAGTAACAAACTTGTGTATGAAGTCAGTCAGAGGCAGAGCTGCAATTTAAACCCAAATTGCCTAATTCAGAACCTATATTCTTTTTTTTTTTTTTTTTTTGGCAGTACCAGGGATCAAGCTCATGACCTTGCGCTTGCCAGACAGGCATTTACGCTGCTGAGCTAAATCCTTGGCCAGGACCCAGATTCTTAACCACTATAATACACTACCCTAAAAATTTTTATTTATTTATTTATTTATTTGTGTGTGTGTGTGTGTGTGTGTGTGTGTGTGTGTGTGTGTACACGTGCATGTGTATGTGTGTGTATGTGTGGTGCTGGCCACTGAACCCAAAGTCTTCACTCAGTGACATCCCCAGCCCCTTCCCCTCATTTAAAATTTTGAGCCCATGGCCTTGTTAAGTCACCAAATTGCCCAGTCAGGGCTTATATTTGTTACTGTATTGCCTCAGTGTCCCAGAATACTGGGATGACAGGCATGTGCCATCATCCCCAAACACAGTATTATTTTTTATAAAAAATAAAAATGTTTTAAGAAAATTGAAATACACTGTCGTATAGCCATACTACCCTGAATGTGCCCAATCTTATCTAAAATATACCTGTGCAGCCCATTCCTTCTTTTGGTTCAATTGCAGCAAAGTATTTCTGATTATTTTCTTTCTAGTATCTTCCAGAGTGATTTTACACTGTTCTTTAAAGAGAAAATTAGTTAACAAGGTTAATTCTAGGTAAAACTGATGTTGGTAAGTTTCACCTTCCAGAATCCTTATCTGTTTTTCTAACCAGTTTTTCCTCCCAATTCTCAGAGTACATTTTTACTGAAGCATACAGTTCTTTCGGTTAGAAGAAATGCCCAACAATTTACAAAAAATTTTATGCGAATGAGTCTAAGTTCTCCACAAACGTATATGTTTTTGAAGGATTGTCTTTCCAAAGAGAGAAATTTAAACACTTTAATACTTATGTGGCTAGTTGTCCTGTATCTCCTACAACTTATGAATCTACAACAGAGATAATAAAGAAGGTTTTATTATCTGCTTGAGTGGCATATTGTACATCTGACTCCATCTAATGAGATTTCCAATATTCACGCATTTCCTAGGGCAGGACTGACAGAATGAGAAAAAGAACGTGAAGAGTAGAGGGCCCAGGGAGTCAGGAGACCTCTTCTATGCTGGGCTTACAGCAAGAAGGAGGACAGAGACAAAGTGCAGGGTTCTCTGTCCTCATGTTCCTATGCTTGTGCCATCACTGAAAGAGGGAAGTCATAAATTTCAGATCTCAAACGACACTTAGAAAGTATATAATCAATATACTTTTTAAAGTAATTGAGGCACAGTCATATTAAGGCTCCTGAGACTGAATAAAGGCCAGTTTCTTCACTTTTAAAAACAATTATGAAGCTCTTTCTACATGTCAGGCATTACCAAAGAGACTGGAAATATTTCTAATTGAGACGAAAATCCCTACCTTGATGGTATGTATATTCTCATGGAAAAAGCAGACCATAAGTAGTAAAACATAGTTTTTCAGTTGGTGATGCGTGCGATGAAGAAAAGCAGTTTTTTTCAGATAGGGTGAACAGAAAAACTTATTGAGACATTCGAGTAGAATGAATAAGATGCTGTAGTTAGAAATGTGAAATGTGAAGTCACTGTCTTACTTCAAAGACTTAATCTGACAATTAGTAAAGTTGTGGTTTTGTTATAACATCAATGCTATATCCCCATTAGTAGTAGTCTATTTATAACATATACAAGATAATTATTTGGAAATCAAGATATATTTTCCAATACAAATAATGTTGAAGATCATGATTGCTAGAATTCTAGACAGGTCATAGAAACTTATTTAATTTTTTAAATTTTAAAATAACAAAACAAAACAAGAAAAATGATGATGCAGAATCTCAAGACAAAATAATAGAAAATTAACACTAGTTAATATATAGCATATTGTTATTTTTTGTTCAGATTACAAGTTTAGGCATGAAAAAATGATCAAACAATCAAACACTGAAAGCACAAACTGTTCTTTTTGATGAACTAACAGAGATTAGTTGTATAGTTATTATATATATATTCTTTTCCCTTGTTTTCTTCTTTCCCCTATCCCAATTGTTCTTTCCTTTTGAGCACTTTATTTCCCTTTCATTTTCACAATATGTATATTTGGATCTTATTTACTCTTTCAGTTTTTTTTGCACTAGGGAGACAATACAATATTTACACATGCGAGTCTGATTTATTTCACTTATGAGTATGATCTCAAGTTGCATCCATTTACCTATAAAAGTCTAACGTTTACTCGTTATAGCTGAGTAATACTCCACTGTATAAACACTAACTTATTCTTTGACTAAGTAAAAATGTACAAAGGATGCTGTAGAAACTAACTTCCACTGAGGATATTGTTTCAGTGAGAAAAAAATCTTCATAAACCAAGGCAGCCATAGCAGAATTCTTGGGATCTTATGCTGTAGGGAAGAAAATGCACAGGTCTTATCTCCCAAGAGGCCAGGAGTAAATCTCTCTGAGAACATCTGAAGATTCATTTCTTAGATCAAGAAATTAAGACTTAAAAGAGTAATGTTACTTTTTTGTAAGTGAATTTGAACCCAGGTCTTTTAACTCATCCTTAAGATACAGAAGTTTCAAGGATCTCTGTCCTATGCCTGATAAAGTGTAAAAGTAAAAACGCTGGGTGACTATATCGATTGATTTGTAATAAACATGTTCCTTCTCTATTGCTGGGCCTAATCTAAATTGTTCACCTCTATTTTGAGGAGAGGGAGCCTTACCCTGGCTGTATCGGTGACTTTTCTATACCGAGTGCTTCAATAGCTCCTTGAGCTACACAGGGAAGCAGTTTGAGGTGCTTTTTTCTCCTGCCCCCAGGGCTCAGAGGAGGCTATTAGAGGAGGTAGGGTGAACAACTGACCAAAGAAGTCTTCTTGGGCTGAGCATGACCCATGAAGAGGCATGGGCCAGCAAACATCTTTGGTCATTTCCGTTTAGGTAAATGATGACACCAGCTGTCTTCAGAATCTAAGCTTGAGAATACTTTACTAAAAGGATTAATCTGTGAGAAGCAAGCAGAGAATGGGACAGGACCACAGAGCAAAGCAGAGGTGCTCAGAAATGGGTTGTCTCAAATTATGGGGTAAATATAGGGAGAAGCCATCTCTAGAGTCACCACTGAGCCTATAACCTCCAATTCTATACCAGTCCTCCCATTTTCACAATCCAAAAGCATTACCTATGGAAGGTCAAATAATTTTATTTTCTTTCTTCCTTTTAAAATACTATTCATACTGTATAGCTAATGATTTCCACTCAATATATGGGAAATCCTATGACTTTTCTGGTACTTCGTAGTAAAAAAAAGGTCTTTAAATAAGTACAATATGTCCAGTCTATCACAAAAATCCAAATTTTAAAGTTCATTAAAAGTTATGATGAATCCTCTTTGTTAGCTTCCACCTACTGCTCTTTTCCCTGCCTTGAGCCTCCATGCCCTCTCTGAGGGTGCAGATAGAAAACGGGAAAAAAGCTTTTGCCCAGCCTGTACTGTCTCAAACTCATGTTAACTTCCTCTCCTACTCAGCATTGCAAACTTACTTCCTTTCTCATGGGGATGTTTCTTACAGGCTCCCTGGAGGACCACCTTCCCCATTTCAAGTGGCATTTCACCCATTCACCCTTGAAGCAGGGGACTCACTGACCTTGGAAGCTGGTAACAACTTTTCCTTGGACCCTGGCCCTCAACACTGTGCCCCTCAGACAGACAGACAGACAGACAGACAGACAGATGGATGGAAAAACACACAGACACACAGACACACACACACACACAGACACACACACACTCTTTCTCTCTCTCTCTCTCTCTCTCTCTCTGTCTCTCTCTCTCTCTCTATTTCTGGAGGCTCACAGTTGGCCAAGCAGAGAGTAATGAACAACTCAGGGAGTGCCCATTTTTTTTCCCCACCAAATCAATGCCCTTTAACAATCTTTTATTGAATTGAGCTAGCTTTATTGCAACTGACCTGACATTTTTTCTGTATTCTCTTTAACTTGATTGATGTCATTTTGTAAGGAGATAATAAGTTTAGCATGTTGTTCACTTCCTACGTTCTTGTACTCTTCCCAATATTCCTTTTCACCAAGTTTCTCAAGAAATAGTTTCTCAGTATTATTTATTTGTGTGCGCATATCTGTTGGAAAGAAAATTAAGATACTGTATAATTTCAGTGGTTCTTATAGCCATTACTTGTTGTAACCTGGTTTTATGTAGTTAAGTCTGATATTACAATGCCATTAACTTATAACTTATTATTTTATATATACATAATTTTTGAAAATCTTAAACTATTCAACATGTTGTTTATCTGTTCTTTATAATTCAAAATTCAAATAAAATTAAATTCCCAGTTATAAAGTAAAATTGTAGCCAGGCATGGTGGTTCACACTTGAAATTCAAGTACTCTCTGAGGCTGATGCAGGAGGAGCATAAGTTTGAGCCCACTCTAAGGAATGTAGCTCAGTGTGAAGGCCTTGAATTCAATTCTCAAGTACCAAAAAAAAAAAAAAAAAAAAAAGCAAAAAAATGATTTGTGATTTGGGTTGTGATTATCTGTCTATTATCTCCATATCTTCCCTAGGAATTTTCAAGTTTAAATATTCTTGTGACAACTTAATAAGGGTATGATATGGCACAAAGCTTTATATCATGAATTCTTTACTAATAAATTGTCATTTTGTGGCCATTATGCCTCCAGGAAAACATGATTTCCACTTACTTCCTTTTCAGGTTCTTGGTAAACATTATGAAGTACATGATTAGTTTAGTCATCTAAAGTTGATTTGTTTGGACTTTCCTTGTATGAAATGACAGCATGTGATACATGTCTCCCCATTGCTCCCTAAGTATTTGTAAGTACTGCACTATTTCAAACATATAACCTTTCAGTTTTTCCTGGTACATTAAGCATTCTATTTTATTCAGTCTTCAGACCCAAGTATATCACTGAATACTGTACTTCTGAAGGGAAAGCATTACACGGTCAAGTCCAAAGAACTCATTGGATGTGTGGCTCACTAGGGGAGGAGCACATCTCACTCATCTCTGTAAACTCAACCCTTGGCACAGAGCCTCACAATATCTTTTATATCTTTTTGATGGTTTCACTGTTTTATTGTTATATAATGTCCTTTTTGTCTTCAGTAAAGACAACTAAAGTTGGAAGAAAAGGGTTACAGATTATTTCTTAAATCTTGCTGTGCATACGAATCTCCTGGAATCTTGTCAAAATATGGACTCTGACTTGGCGTCTGGGTGAGGATGAGATTTTGTGATTCTAAAGTGAATTACTGTGGAATTAACTCTCATAGAGATATTGGCAAGGGATGTTTCCTGGTTATATTTGCCTTATTTTTCCCAAATCTAAACCAAGGCTAAAGTACATGGAGCCACCGAACAACAAACTTTCACAAAGAACAAATTCCCAGTGTGAAAAGAAGCTCAGCTTGATACCTAACAAGGTACTATGTTAGATGGATTTCATCTGTCTTTGTTTCTGATTACTGTACTTACTCCTCCTCCTTTGGCTGCGTACCTCTGCCCACTTTCATCATTTCCCTCTCCTGCCCACTTACCTATACGTGTTTGTGGGTGTAGTGGCAATGATGTCATTTGAAATAAACAAACAGCACTTACAACATGCTGGAAGACAAAAATATTAATACATTTAAGAAATAAATGATACAACTTCTCTGACAGTTTCCTAAGTTACTAAATCACCTCTCAAGTTCTTTTCCTGGTTTCTTTCAAACTCCCATTTTTCCTTCATTGCCTCTTCAACATCCTCTCTTGTGACAACTGGTAATCCATCTGCCGACTTCTCACTCAGTTCCTTTAGTAGGTTCTTTATGTGCCAGTTCTGTTCCTCCTTTAAGCGTCTGTTCTGTCATGGAAATCAATAGTAATTAACTATTTGCCAAACTATTTACATTGTTTTCCCAAAACAAAGGTATATATTGAGGCTTTCGAAGTGAGAAAAATTAATTAAATAAATTATACAGTGATATCCATAGAAGCTAATGGGATATTTAAGACTTGAAATAAAACCTATCAATGGAATAACCATTAGAATGTTACATTTTAAAATTATGCTAACAGGAAGAGAAACAAGAAGTTAATTCGCCCTTCCCATGAAGTCTTGTATCACTTTCACTATTTATTTTTGATTACCTTTATTTTGTGTAGTTTTATTCCTTTTAGAATAAATTTTTAAAAAACTATGCCATTAACCTACTGATCTATTATGTTATCATAGGATCAATAAACATCAATGCTAAATCTTGGAAGTTAAATATTTTCAATTTCCCATCAACACTGTCTTTTTCTACCATTCCTTATTCATCTAGTCATGTATGCTGGGTACTAGAGCTGTGTTGGTGAACAAAAGAGGAAAAAATTCCTGCTTTTGTAGAACTTATATTATTGTTTGCTTCTTTTCCACAAATGATCCTAATTTTCTTTTACTAGGATTATGGTTACTTACCACTAAAAAAATTCACACTTCAAATATGGACAGGGTTATTTTTTGTAGATATTCTATTCATGTTCCTAAGCTGCTTATCTAATCAACTTAGTTTTTTCTTGCTCTTGTTATTTTGTTATGTGTAAAAATCACACACACAATCTTCCCTATAATAATTATAACAAAGTGAGGAAAACTAGACAGTAACCTAAATCCGTGAGAAAAAAATAAGTATACCAATAAAAGTATGCAAGCAAGTATGAAAGGCAAAATAAATGTATTTTTATGATTTCCCCTATTTAATTTAAAAGACAACTGCAAAAAGAGACAATTGCAAAATGCAACAATTATCAGTCTGTGTTTATGAGTACACAGTGTATAAAGTATATTATCTATAATGATACAAATACAAATGAAGAGGGAGAAAGTGGAATTACATATTTGTAGCTATTAAAATTAAGTTGGCATTAGTCTAAACTAGATTGTTATAACTGAAGATGTTAGGAATCCTCAAGAGAACTACTAAGAAAATAAAAGAACTATAACAAAGTTAAAATGCTATACAAGGAAATGTTTAATATCACAGAAGGCAATAATGGAAGAACAGAGAAACAAAAAGAAGACATAGAAAACAAACAGCAAAATTCAGATGTAAATCTTCCTTATCAACAATTACATTAAATGAAAATGGGTTAAACATTAAAAGGAATAGCTTTGCAGAATGGATGTTTAAAAAAAAATCAACTGTATGATTTCTATCAGACAGACTTAGAGTTCAAATAACAAGTATGCTGAATGTCTGAAGATTAAAAAAAAGATATACCATACAAACAAGTAGCCCAAAGAGCTGATTTATAAAAAAAAATGCTACTGAAGACAAAAAGGACATTATATAACAATAAAAGAGTGAAACCACCAAAAAGATATAACAATTAGAAACATATAGCCTTCATTAGATATTAATGTTACCTCAAAATTCACGCCCATTCAGAACTTCGGGGTATGATCTTATTGGAAATAGTCTCTACAAATGTAATTAGTTAAGATGAGGTCATATTGGGTTATGGTGAGCCCTTAAGTCAATATTGGTATTTTTTATTAAAAGGCAGCATGAAAACACAGAGATACACACAAAAGAGGCAATGTGCAGGTGGAAACAGAGATTAGAGTGATGGATATAAGGCAAGTGATGCCAAGGACCACTGGGAACACCAGAATTATGAGATGGGATGAGTTCTGCCTGAAAAATTTCAGAAAGAACCAATATTGGCCATTCTCTCCTTACTTGCTGATTATGCCAACATTTTGATTTTAAAGTGTTGATCCCATCCATGAAATATGTGAGAATAAATTTCTGTTTTTTTAAGGCACACAGCTTGTGGCAATCTGTGATGGTAGCCCATAGATAGTAATTCATACCATAACAGTAGAACCCCAAAATACACAAAGGCGAACGCCTATCTATGCTCAATACTAATGAGAATCTCCCTACCTTCAGGCGTCTTGTCTTTACCAGGCAGTAATCAGGTGTCATCCCCACTTTCCCTGCCAGAGTGATATCAATAAAATACAGATACAATAAAAGGTTGTAAATAAGATCCAGAGCCTCATAACAATACAAAATATCTGGGCTTTAATAAATCACTCATCATACCAAGAATCAAGAGGATTTCAAACTGAAAAAGGATAATCAAGAGCTGCTATCATCAAAGCAACTGATACACAGAATTGCTTGACAAAGATTTAAAGCAGCCATGATAAAAATGGTTCTCTGTGAGCAATGATAAACATACTTGAAACAAAATTGTGGAAGGTCTCAGCAAAAATACAGAACATAAAAAAAGAACCAAATGAAAATTTTGGAACTTAAAAATATAGTAACAAAAAGCTCAATGAACAAGCTCAATGGCAGAATGGAAGAGACAGAGGAAAAGAACAGTGAAATGGAAGATGGAACAACAGAAATTGACTAATCTGAACAAAAGAAAGAAAATAAACTGCAAAGAAAAATGAAAAGAACCTTCGAGACCTGTGGAGGGGCCCCAATTTTTCACATCCTTTCTACCATTTTTGATTACAGCCTTCCTAGCAGCTAAGAAATAGTATTCTGCTGTGGTTTTGATTTGCACTTTCTTAATAACTGATTATGTTGAGCATCTTTCATGTTCTTGTTGGCTATGTGTATATCTCCTTTGAAGAAATGTCTACTCATTGTCAAACTGATTTTTGACAAAAATATACAAATAATTCATTGGACAAAGAACAGCTTTATCAATCAACAGGTTGGAACAACTGAACATCTGTAGACAAAAATCAAACCAAAACAGCAAACACCTTGACTTAGGTTTCACACCTTATACCAAGAAGAACTAAAAGTAGGTCATGATTCCAATGTAAAAGCTAAAACTGTAAACTTTAGAAAAATAAGAGAAAATCTTTAGGATTTAGAGCTAGGCAAAGAGTTGTTAAACTTGACACCAAAAGCATGATCCATGAAAGGAAAAACTGATAAAATAGATTTCACTTAAAATGAAAACTTTTGCTCTGTGAAAGATCATTTCATGAAGATAAAAAGACAAGCTACAGACTGAGAGAAAATATTTGCAGATAATGTATCCAACAAAGGACTAGTATTTAGATTATATATTATTAAATATATAATACACAGCATATATTAGTTATAGCCCATATATGTATAGTTTGTATTCTCAAAACTCAACAGTAAAAAATATCCAATTAGAAAATTGTAAAAATACACATCACCAAAGAGAATATATGCATGGAAAATAAGCACATAAAAAGATGCTTAATATAATTATCCATTAGGGAAATATAAATTAAAGCTACAATGAGATAACACTACTTTTCAGAATGCCTAAAATAAATTGATATCACCAAATTCTGGTGAGAATAAAGAGAAACTGGACTACTGATTTATTGTTGTTTGAAGGATAAAATGGTACAACCAACTTGAAAAACAGCTTAGCAGTTTATTGAGTTTATTATATAAATTAGCAATTGAAATTCTGAGCCGTTAGTCCAAAGAAATTAAGTCACATGAATACTTGGACATGAATATTTATATTACTTCATGTGTAATAGCCAATAACAACTCAGGTAAATTCAGGTATGTTTGAATTACACAATGTTACTAAATACTGAAAAGGAACCCACTAATGATACCTACAATCTGAATGAATCTCCAGAGAATTATGCAGTTTTAAAAAAGCCAATCACAAAGGTTACTTATTATGTGATATTCTTGACATAAAAATAATAAAATATAATAAAAATAAAGGACAGAATAATGGTTTTCAGGGATTAATGAAGAAGTAGAATTGGAGGGAATTGAGCAGCTATAAGGCAACAGTATGAGGAATGCTTTTGGTGACAGAAACATTTCACATCATCTTGACTACCAATGTTAATATCAGTAGTCCAGTTACAATACTGTGGGTACAGTTTTATAGTATATTTAGGAACTAGGTAATGGGTGCAAGGGACTCTGTGTGCTGTTTCTTATAACTGTATGTTAATCTATAATCATCCCAAGATAAACAGTTTAATTTTAATAAATGAAGCTCAACCAGTATTAACAGTTTAAGAATATACAATGTATTACTTTTTAAACAATTCCATTTTCTTAAATGAAACAGATTCATATTTTGCTTACTGATAAATAAGCAATTACTTTGGCTTGACATAAGCTATATTCAAATGAAGTATTATAGAAACTTGAATAATAGTGATAAAAATATCACTTGCCAAAAACTCCTGCATAGCTAATACTCTTTCCAAATATAGACTTTTCCATCTATTTTCATAAAAGTGGAAAATTCCTTTACTGTTTATGTTTGGACACTAAATGTTTATTTAGTTATATATTACTTATTTTAGTTAATTTTAGTAATACGAAATGAAATTTAAATTCAATTCTACCTCAAAAACATTTGCCCTGACATATGAGCCAAAAATGCCCAAAGATAATGATAATTTAAAAACTACTGTGTCGGGTCTGAGAACATAGTTCAATGATAGAGCACATACTTAGCATGGGCAAAGCCTTGGGTTCAGTCTCAGTACTGGGAGTAAAAAAAGGAAAGGAAAGGAAGGAAGGAAAAACCCATTATGTAAAATTCATAAGGAATTTCTGTGGATGGTGGTGCATGCCTATAATCCCAGTACTTGGAAAGCTGAGGCAGGATTGCCATGAATTTGAGACCAGTCTGGGCTACATAGTGAGTTCAAGGCTGGCCTAACAGCGTAGCAGGAATCTATCACAAAATTCTACGTAATATGCAAATAATCTTTCCTTTTACTTTTCTCACATGGCACAATGTTCTCTAATACAGCTCTCCTAGATCAAAATTCTAATATAAATGACTATTCTATGTAAGTATTTTAATTTGAAAATTAAAACAGTGTAACATATTTAAAAATGTTATATGTTGCATAGATAGTATCAAATATTTTGTTACATATAAATTTAATACCATTTATATTAAACTTTCCAAACCTATGTGAACTTCAAACAGAAGGAAGTGTCTGACATGTTACAAAATTCAATGTCTAGAAAAATTATTTTGAGTAATATATTAAAACAAAACTTAATTAGATTGGTCAATGTGCAAAAATGTTTTATCTTTTTTTCTTTTGTGCCATCATTTTTATTAGTGCATGTTTGCAATACATAATGTTTACATTTGTTGTAGAAAGTTGGTACATGCACATATTCTAATTCCTCTACTCGTACCCTTTACTTTCTATTGACCCCCTTCCTGTTTGAGAAAGATCTACCTTCTTACTTTCTATTATTTATCTGTTATTTTACTCTTTATTTAAATTTTAATTTCTCATATAGGAGCCATCATCAAGTCAAATAATAAGAGATGCTGATAAGGGCTGTGGAGAAAATGGAACCATTCTACATTGTTGGTGGGAATGTAAACTAGGATAACCACTATGGAAATCAGTATGGTGAGTCTTCAAAAAATTAAAACTAGAAACTCCATTTGATTCAGCTCTTCACCTTGTAGGTATCTCCACAGAAAAATAAAAGACATCATGTTACAGGGATATAACATATCCATGTTTAGAGCAGCCAAATAGCTAGTAGTTAAATTAGTTAAAATTATTTATATGTTTATCAACAGATAAATGGATAAAAATGTTTACTGTATGAAGCAAATCAAATAATTAAGATAAACATATGGAAAAAGTATATTTAATAAATACACTACCAAAAAAGAATGATTTTGTTTTCATAGGTCATATCATGATCTTTACTCTTTAGAATTTATAAGAACAAGAATAAGAAGTTCCCCCAATAGCGCAGAATTTCAACCTACTATTTACCCAACTTTGCCCAAATGATAACACCTTACATTACCATAATATTAAATCCAGGAAGTTGACATTTATAAAATGTTAACAAAATGAGATATTTTATTTCTTTCAGTTTTTATACATACTTATTTTGACTATGCAATATCATGAAATTTTAGCATATATTTATGTGTACATATTTATATGAATTATTACCAAATAGATGACATTTGAAGCCACAGTGTTAAGTGAGATTTACCCCCACACATACACACACATAGAATTTAGAGTGAGAGAAAAGAAGGCTGAGATTGGAAGCCTGGTAAATATGATTAAGGAATGGATCAAGGAAAAGAGCAATAAATGAAAAACAAAAAATGGTCAGAGAGGTAGTAGGAAATTTTGACATAACTGAGGAGAAAAAAAATTTATCTTACTAATAGTCATACTTATGGCCTCAAAGTTTTTTCCACTGCTGTTACCATGAATTCACTCAACAAATATTTCTAAAAACCTACTCAAGCTGGGCTCTTCCACAGAAACAAAGATAATTAAGATTTGATTGCTGTTGCCTAAAAAGCTTTCAGTTCAATAATGAAGATATGTTTTATACAATATTTCAGCTTAGACTGAGAGAATTAAAAGGTGTCAGTTAAGAAAAAAGCACACCAGGAAGAGGAAACATTTTGGGTGTCTTGGTTACTTTTCTTGTTGCTGACACAAAATACCTGACACTCATAAGTTAAAAGAGGAAAGGTTTATTTCAGCTCATAGTTTGTACAGGTTTCAGTCCACAGTCCGCTGGCTCCAAGGCGAGTGGCATGGCTGAGGGCCATCACAGACAGAGGAGAGAAGAAACAGCTCATGGTATGGCAGGCAGAAAGCAGGAGGCAGGAGGCAGGAAACAGCAACAAGCAATAAGCTTGCCTTCCCTCTCTCCCTTTATTTATATTCCATTCAGGCTGTAAGCCTATTGATTTGTACCACCCACATCCAAGGTGGCATACAAGGTGAGACTTTGTTGGAGACCACTATGAAGTGGCTTTGAGCAGGATTTAAATTTTACTAATTTGCTTTCTATGTTTATCTGTGAGTCTGTCCTAGGCCTAGGCGATGGGAGCTGATTCATAGTAAGTGAACCTCTATGAATCACTGGTCCTGGCTGAGGCCTGTAGTGGCCTGTGAGGCCAGAGATACCTCAGAGGGCAAGATAAGGCCACAGCTGCAGACACTCTGGCTCCAACCCCAATTAACAAGGTAGAGACTGCAGCTGCAAAAATTACTCCTACAGTCTCACTTCTACCATGTTTTCATAAGACAGTTCTGCTAAACTGACATGATTCTTTACTTGGAGACGTCCTTGAAGTAACTCCCAATCCTACTCATTGCCTGCACTTTCCTCAGTTTCCCCATCCTTTGTTTTGAACCTAATAAAAATGGGTGGGTCAGAGAAGTCTTTGTCTTAGCTCTCAGAGTTTTGAGCTCAGATAAAGGGTTTTGACTTTCCTGGAGCCCTAAAATCATACCACTTGTCTCATTTTATTTAAGCCTTCGCTGTACACTTGTTTTGGAGATCAGAGATCTAGATCAGGACTGGATAGGACTTTCATTACCTATACCCAGAACTATGATAAATACATTTAGTTATCACACACCCTAGATCCAGACACCTCTGAAAAGCCCCATCTGTGAATTCAAGAGGCTTTGGGCAGACATGTAGATTTAAGCTGTAACACTGGCTAAACACAGAATAGGAAAGAGACTCATTTTTCTAAGACTAAAAAGAAATACAGTAAACAAAGCATGGGTCAGCTGGAGACAAGGTTAGAGAGGTGAGTGAGGGCTAGATTTTTCAGGACCCTGAAGACTTCAGTAGGTCTACAGATTTTATTTTCTGTGCCATGGGAATCCACTGAAAAGTATTAAGTACTGAAAGGTTACAGTATTCAAAGGCTAATTCACGTTACAGTGTAGAGGGGGAAACTTGGGTAAGAGATGAAGATGATGGTGTCTTTGATTAAAGCATTAGCAACATAAAGAAAATGAAATGATGTTCAGATATATATATATATATATATATATATATATATATATCTGAACTAGTCTCTCTCTTCATGTTCCTTACTGCTGGGCCTACCAATATGAAGGCTTTAGTCTTGTTCTTGAGCTAATCTTTATGGAAATAAGAAATTCAATTTTTTTTACTCTAAATGATGGGACAATGGGGATGTGATGACTCATTCCTTATCTACTGTACTTCCCACAGCCTGACCCTGACCTAGGAATCCTGATGCTCACTAGTGTAGGATATGCATTGGTTCCTTGATGCCTTAGTCCCTTCTGTGCTCTGGATTTCGTATCGTGTGAAACCTGCGTCTAAGCACCTAGACCAGATTTCTTTCTGCTCTTATCTAGAGATCTATTTCTGTTTTAGTCCTTATTATGAATACTAACCCTTGAAAACCATGACAGTATCAGAGCCACAATTATGTCACTGCTTACATTACCACCAGTGGTTGTCTTGTCCAAAAAGTATTTGCTAAATGAAGGAAAAACTTAGCCCTGGGGAGAAGAGAGGAATCTCCATTTCACAAGAGGAAAATTGAAACTTATACCAACTTTGGCCCCCCAAAAACCTCATTAGTAAGTTGTACACTCAGGATGTAGACACAAGTCTCCTAAATCTATATTCCACTAAAATTTGAAGATATAATATTTATAAACAGGAGTCAAATAAAAAGAGTTACCTGTGGAAGTTTCAGGTCCATAAAACAAATGTGTAAATGTATTTATAAAAAATAAACATATATTTTCTCACACATGAGATGCCTTGAAGAATAAGTTTTGTTAATTATCATTTATTATTTTCTAACTTTGCTTCTGTTGATCTTTAGTCCAGACAGACATATACAGCACCTTTTTAACATTCATTTTAGTCTAATTTTTAAAGAACAGTATGTCAAATATTCAGTTACTTTAACAATTGAGGTTATAATTTTTAAAAGGTATTAAATATGCACATTCTCTGAAAATTTAGAAGAAACATTCATAGGTTAAAAACATAGAACCAGTGTTTTATAGTAGTTTGGTTAAATAAGTCAAAAGGTAAGTGTAGTTTTAATGCTTTTAAATTTTAAACAATTGTCCTCAGGATCTAAATAACTTAACAAGCTGACTTCCACTGACATTATAATAAATATAGTGGGAACATTAGTACTGTGTTGCCTCACATGTACAGAAGAGCATAAATGAATTATAAATCAACCAATTTCAAGCCCTGAAGATAATTTCTCAGGGTATGTTTCATTATAATTCAATTTTTGAACCATATATATGTAAATGTTTAATAGTTATATAAAGGCTCTAAATTTTATACTCACTCTTTCATGATACTTTTGGTTCTTTTCCCTAAGCTTCTTAATTTGAAAAATGAATCGCTCTACTGAATTTTCTTTTATTTGACGGCTGAGAATAAAGATAAGATATTATAATTATTCATTAAGAAAAATTAATGAGATGAAATTTAAAAGGTAAATATTTGAATTTCAATATGTTATTAAATATATTACAAAAGCCCATTTAGGGATAAGAACCTTTCTTAAATGACTTGTGTTGGGGGGGTTGCAGCGAGGATGAGGAATGAACCAGTATCTTCACACTGAGCTACGTCCCCAGCCAATTTTTAATTTTTTAATTGAAGACAGAGTCTCCCTAAGTTTCCCATACTGGGCCTGAACTAGCTATCCTCTTGCCTTGGCTTCCCAGAATGCTGGGATTACAGGTGTGCACCACTATACCTGGCAGTCTTAGAATTTTAAATCTATTTAATTTATTAAATATACAGGAAAGGTAAAATTTTATTGAAACAATTCCTGTTAATATCTTATAAATGTAATTTCTATACTTTGTAATTACAATTAAGAAAATGTAGAAAAAGGTACATACAAAACATGCCTCATAGAGAATTCTAAAACACTTAGACAAACATGACAAACAAAACAAAGATTTTCATAAAGCATATTTTGAAATTGGTTCAAGTTCATTCACATACTATCTTTTCTACAAATAAAAAGGAAGCTTCTTTCCTGGCACAAATACATTTCTTTAACACCCAACAAGTATTTGTGAAGCATATCTTAGATATGAGAAGAACGAAAAAGCAGGAAGGCTTTGGTACAGGCTCTTTGATAGTGACTCATACAAAGCAAGTGCCCACAAATGCTTGTTGCACCTAAATCTGACATCCTCTCAGCTTGTTCTCTAAAATATCACTTATATTTGTAATATTGTACACTTAAGAAAGAGAAAAGTAAGGCTGTTTACTTCCAAATGATAAGAAAACACAGCACAAAAATAAATCCTTTAGAGGCAAAAAAGCTGGTTGCATATTATTAACATCTGATTTTAGCATATATGCTGGTGAAGCGAGCACTGATTTTTATCCACTAACTGCCTAAGGGTATTCAACTTAGTTAGGCCTTGAGTTACTCTGCAATAAATAAGAAGATTAAAGGAGATGAGTTCTGTGGTTCCTTTCAATTTCAAAGTTCTGCAGTTTATATCTACCAATTCCTTTTTATGCATTCATACACGCAAAGCAGGTTCAATGAGCTGCCACTAGTGACTTGCGCATCAGAGATCATTTAGAACAAAACCTGATGATCTTCACCCTCAGGGAGTATAATTTACTAGACAATAAAAAAGTAAATGTACAACCTGACTAGCTATATACTGTGGCAAATACTGGGGAGGGGAGAGATATCAGTATGTAAGAAAGCTGGTAAATGGAAGAGACTACTGTAGTAGTGGATACCACAAAATACTAAAAAAAGCTTCTAAGTGGACCATGTTTTACTTCTTATTTAAAGTTTAGGTATATAAAAATTTAGAAGGAGTGCTTCATCTCTCATTTTAAGGGAGAAAGGATGAAAGCAACATAAATAAATTTTCCAAAATGAGGCTATGCAATCATGTGTAAATTACTCACATTATTTCTGCAATTACAAATGTAATAATAGTACTTCCCTGTATGTGTGATATAGGCAAATAAATATCAAGCATGTGGTCTTTACTTCTTGAGACACGATCTTGGGTTACCAGGCTGACTCATTTGCAGCTGAGAGCCTGACTTGGTGATGATTGAACATGCAATGAATAGGCTAGACGCGAGGTCAGATTCTGAATGGGATATATTTACAATACAATATATTTACAATAAAAAAGTAATTTGTTATTTATCCCAAATTCAAGTTGGGAATTTTTATTGTTATTTGTCACATCTGTCAAACCCATGCTTAAGTATACCATTCCTACCCTAAAAACATTAAAAAGCAAATAGATTAAGGCTTTGCCTCATCTTCATTTTGCCATAAGCAGTTCAAGATGAAGGGAATGGCACCAGCAGACTGACACATGGCAGAGGGTGAGGTGGGGTATGGGTGGATTCTGGGACCCCTTAAATGGTTTGGCCACTTCATTAGCCCCTTGTGGAGTCCATGGTGATTACAACTCTAACTTAGCTGGGTCTTTCTTTAGAATCCACTTATCTTTCCCAACCTTTATGAAGAGGTTAGAAAGCAAGCCTGACCTACTAGTGGGAACTGTCAAAGCTTAGCTTCAGTACTCCATAATCTTAGCCACTATGGAAAATTCAGTGTTCACTGATATGTATATATATTTTTCTTTTTCGTATCATCAGTGCCCACATGTCACAGTAAATTCTGAACAACTGGAATGAGAAATTATGTGTATATATGATTTGAAAGGAATATAGCACTATTTGAAAGCACAGTAATATTAAATTATTGGCAATATAATTTTCTTTGCCTCCTCCCTCCCTGTATTATTAAAAATGTTAGTAATGAGTAAACTTTTCATCTCTGTGCAATTTCATTGAAAATTTGGGCAATGAAAACAAATTTAAAGTCCAAAAAGATCCATCTACTTTACACATAACTATAATGCAAATATGTTCCTATATCCATATCCATCTACTTTCATTATAAAAAAAATAAGGAGAAAACAAAAACTACCACTACTTAGAAATTATAGATTTAGCATTGGTGGTATCAGCTCTTCACACACACAAAAAACCACCTTATGCTCTTGGGATACAGTTCCTATATACATGGAATTACCTGATCAAAGGACAAGGATGCTTTGTAGTTACTGCTTTTATTGCCATATCAAAATATTTGAATAATATATACTTACCTGTGAGTAAGAAACTGCCTGTTTCATGGTATGTATTTCACCATTAAGAATTAATACTTTAAAAGAGTATTTCTGTATCAGTAGACAAAAGTAGTATCTTCTTTTTATTTTCCTAAGTGAGTTTGCTTTCAGGAAAAATTCAACAATATTTACCCAAGAAAGAAACTCTGCACTCATATTCTCTATACCAGGTTGCTAAGTACTAGAGATATGAGGAGTTGTAAAATATAATCTCCAAGGAGTTAAGAGTTTGTTGAAGAAAAGGCAAGCAGAAATTACCTTTCATATTTTCCCCTTACTTCAAATAGTCGCTATAAAATGACTATCAGATCCAAATAAACTTCAAACTGAAATCTATTTTTAACCTACAACCACATCCAAATAAACTTCAGATCCAAATAAACTTCAAACTGAAATCTATTTTTAACCTACAGCCACATCCATATTTATTTTTATATCTATATCCATGAAAAAACTAAGAGAAAGTGAAGTACAGAACAAAGAAAAACCATCATTCTCAAAGATGATCATTTTGTAGATTTAACATGGGCAGTATGATTTCACAATCACAGAAATATATGAACTTACTTTTTTATTAATATATTTTAAGTACCATTACTCAAAAAGTATTGTATTAGTCAATTTCCCATTATTGGGATAAAATACCCAACACCTGTACCTTAAAGGAGAAGTTTATTTTGGCTCTTGGTTTCAGTCCATATCGGCTGGCTCTAAGACAGAAACAGCATGGGACGGGGGCATGCTGCAGCAAAGACGCTCAGCATATGGCAGCGGAGAGAAAGAAGGGAGGAGCTGCAGACAAAAGTATACCCTTCCAGGTCATGATCTTAGTGGCCCACCTCCAACAAGGCCTAGCCTCCTAATAGCACATCCAGCTACTGAGCTAGTCAATGGATGAGTCCACTGGAGTGTATTGGTGCCCCCATGACCCACTCACCTTCTACACACATGAAACGGGAGTGGGGGGCACTTTACGTCTAAACCATAGCAACTATTCACTGACTACTAGGTGCTCACTGCTTTATTAGAAGATAAGATTGAGTGTGAAATGTAAGATGCTTTGGGCCAAAAGTTCTGTTGGATGGGAACACAAGGAATGGGTAAACTACCACCAGTAAAAGATGGTACAGGAAGCCTTACGTTGTTCCCCTTCACAAGATTATTTCATTTTAACGAAATAAAAGGAACAAAGGTATGGAATACTGAGTTTATGTCTTGTACTATATCATGAGATTTTTTTCAGTATTTGTCTCTGTAAAATAGGAGAAAGACTGTCTTCTGGATGATCCCAAAGAAAGAAACAGCTATAACTAGATATCTAAACTGTAAACCAATGAAGCAAATTAGAGACCAGTCACAGAGCCTGACTTTCTATATACACCTTTCCTAAGACGAGATGAACTTTTCAGTTATGTTCAGAAATGAGTGTAAATAGTATCTGCTTATACTTAATGTTATCACAAGTAGAAGATAAAGGGAAACTGTTAAAAGCCCCTTTTCAGTGGATATTTCTCTCTTAAGAGTTCTGGCCTTTTCACTTACTGCCTTCTATAAAGACATTTAGGTATATTTGTAGTTTCTTAAGGGGTAAGAGATGGAGTTTCTCTGAATATTAAAGTAATTGTTTTAACAAACACCTTGTCACTAGCATGACAGGCTTCTTACTTTCAACCTGTGCCTCTCCAAATGGTTTCCCATTTTCATCTCAAGTGTTTGTCTTGATCTAACTAATCCTTGCCTTAATTACCTGATTTGTCCTTGCCCTCTCTCTCTTCCTCCATCCATCTCTCTCTGTTTTCTCTCAGTTCCCAAAACATGATAAGCTCTTTTGAATCCTAGTGTCTTCTCCATACACCATTCTTTCCACCACTCTCTCTCCACAACACCTGTTTCTCTTCTGTATGTCAGCTCAAACACGACTTCCTCAAATATGATTTATCTCCTGTGTAGGCCAAGCCTTTAGTTTTACTATTGAGTAGTACTATACATCTCTTTCATAGTATCTCATTACAGAAACAGGTATGCTACTATGTATTTATTTTTTCATTTAAATGTCTGTTTCCCCTGCTTCTTTGGGTAAGGACCATGTGGTCCCATCCATTGCTATCCCTTGTCTTATTCATAATAAACTTTCAAGTACTTGAATGATAAAATGAAGTAATTTTAGTCTTATTTGGGAAAAGACTAGTGCTTAACTATTTATTCCCTAAATACTATATCTTAAAGCATCTATCGTCTACCAAAAGTTGAGATTCTCAAGTTTTCAAGGAGCTCTCTATTAGTTGGAATAAAACAGTGTAGAGTATGTGTCACCTCTAGTTTTCTCTCTAGTTCCTGGGAGCGAAACATTAAGCGATGTTCTCATTACTAAAAATAACTTGTCTCCAAATCGGTTGAATTTGATCTATGGTCACCCAAGAATAATGCAAGTTAGAATGTCTAAAATATGGAAAAATAAATTAAAGGCCTCTCACGCTCTTCTATAAATATATCTGAATCCTTCCATACAGAATTTAAGAGGAAGCCAGCAAGCTGTGTATATATGCGAGTGAGTGGCCATTAACATAGTGGAGGGAATCAAAGCTACAGCAGTGAATGATGTTCCAGAGACAGGTTCAGTTACAAAGTTTCAACAGCCTTTGAAAATATGCAAATAGCACAACAGTGTCATTATGCCTCCTACCATCTTTATCCTCTTGTCAGTTGTTGGGGGCATCATTTTCATTTGTAGTTACATTTGTCTTAACAATTACCTTTACATAAGGCAAACTGTAGCTTTCAGAGGACAGACTTACTGATAGTCTAGAAGTGCTTCATTGGCAGGCAGTTTGAAGTCTTTTGGTGGTCCAGTGTGTATCTCCTTTTTATATGCTTTCCCCATGCCTTCCATTGTTCCAGTTAGCTACTAAGAAATATACCTATTTTTAAAAAGAGATGGAAAAACAGAATAAATTCCATATTTGCTCCACTACTTGTGTTTACTGTAGATTAGACACCACTGTCACTTTCATTTCAAACCAACTTTTCTCTGTATGAGGTAGTATACAACTCTAAATCCCAGCTACCTGAGAGAATGAAGAAGGAAGACTGAAAGTTTGAGGCCAGCCTAGGCAACCTAGTTAAATCTTTCTCAAAAAATAAAATAATCTTAAAGTGAGCTGTGGATGTAGCTCAGTGGTACACTGCTTGTTTAGCATGTACAAGGCTCTGAAGTCAATCCCCAATACTGAAAAAAAAAAAAAACCCAAACAAAACAAAAACAAAACTGGCCTTTCTATTGATTGCTTCCTTATCCCCACATGTAACATCAACCACAAGACCGGAACATCATAAATCAATTGGATTCTTGAGTCCAATGAGTTCCATATTTAGCCCATGTATAGCATTTCCCAACCCCATCCCAAACATTCTAAGACTCATTCTTTTGTTACCCATCTACAACAGTTACTCTATCAAGCTCCTCCAAGAGCAAAGGACTGAATTTTTAAAATTACTTTATCTACAGTGTTTGGCAAAGTGTACTGCACATAGCAGTGATTCAATAAATGTTCATTAATTTTTTAAATTTAAAAAAAACAAGAGCCAGGTATGGCGGCACACACCTCATCACAGCACTTGTGAGGTTGAGGCCAACATGTGCTACATGGTGAATTCAAGGCTGGTCTGGATTACATAGGAAGATACTATCTTTAAAAACCAACCAACCAATCAATCAAAAAAAAACAAACAAACAACAATTTTCTACCAGTACCAAGAAGCAATGATTGAAAGAATTAGAAGCAGGATCCAAAATAATTAGGTTTGACCAGGGTTGTTACAAAGAACAAGTAAAAGCATAACTGAAGTGTGTTTAAATCATTAGATTTACAAGTGCAAATAACAATGCTTTGTATTAATAACTTTTCACAAGCTATTACATGCTTTTTATATTTAACAACAAACATTGATGATATATTTATAAAGGAAAACCAAGGCCCAATGTTCCTCAATGTTTCCATTAGGTAGGAATACTTCATGGATTTGGTATATCTTTTAATTTCCCCGATTCCATAACAGCCTAACTTACAATCTATATAACACTAGTTTACAGTAGTTTACTGTGGTAGAAAGCACATAATCTTTGTTAATTATTTGTTTAGATTATTGGAAACTTGAGAATGAAAGTGATGTGATTCCTGTGTATTTTCCCATCTAATGCAATAGACACACAATAAATCCTTGTCCAGTGAATATTCAAATGGTAGATGAATCAGACACACATTTAATTCTAGACCCACCATCAACTGTGTTACCTTGAGGTTAATCTTTTTTTGACTTTAGTATCATTTATAAGATGAAAATAATACTTTCTGATTATAAGAATTAAATAAGCTAATATTTAAATCACCAGATAGTGTTTCATACAGAAAGAGCTTAATAAGTATTATTCCTTCAGTTACAGCACCAGATCTCCCTTCTTCAAATTCCAGGTAACTATAAAACAGAAGATTCTGCCTGCTGCCAATTATAGTGATTTGTGTAAAGACTAAGCTCGCAAGTTTGCTTTTGTCAATTTTCATTATTAGTTCTGATCACCAAATTGTCAATCTGCATAGATCATTCAGATCCACAATGGAAAAACTTGGTGAAATGAAACAATTTTCTTGGTAGACGTGCTCACACACCTGAGCCTCTAGTAAAGCTGTCTTTGTGTCCGAGACTGCTCTAGAAAAGTATACACAACATTGTATGCTAACAAATTCAAGTATACATGAAAGCAAGTACTAAAAAAAACATGATGACATATACAAAGATTTAATACACTGAAAAAATGTTTTCTCAAATGTGAAAGTATTGAGAATAATTCAGTAGGTTCCACACCAAGAACACAGCCCACAGAAAATTATTAGCTCAAAGAACTGGTTCTCTTCTGCTTTAGATGCAGAGTTGAATTTTTATATTTTCCCTCTTAGAGTAAGAATGTTTATCTTGGCTGTTGGACAAAATGATAGCATGCTGGCAAATGTTTCACTTTAAAACATAACTCACAACACAATAATGATTTTATTATAAAATATTTTATTGAAAAGTTAAATGTCAACATTAATGTCTTTCTTCCTGAGTCATATGAAAGAGATCAAGGTGCCCACCTGCAGTAGCCATCTGGCACTGGAGGAAAATGACCTCATCTTGCTCAATTACCTCAGTTAGCTGGTTCTTATATTTTTAACTCTCTAATGTATAATTTGTTACCTAATTGTAGTTCATGGCAAAGAATTTTAATAAAATATGAATGACAGTGTGGCTCTACTACAGCACAAATAATTTGTCTATAAACCATGTTAAAATTCATTGCCTGACATACTTTAAAGAAAACTAGTAATTAGAATTCCTGTTTAACCATGGCATTTTGGCAATGAGCTAATGACAGTACCTCAGAATTTAATTTTGCCTTTTTTTTTATTGGTACCGGGGATTGAACTCACGACTGCCTACTTGTAAGGCAGGGGCTTATGCCGCTGAGCTAAATCCCCAGCCCCTAATTTTGCCTTTTATAATATCCTCCAAACAAATGGGACTGTCATAAACACTGTAAATGTTTGCAGTGTTTATGGTGGCCATTTTGTGGCTACCCCGAGGATTTCTTAGCAAAGGATGAGAATTGTAGAAAAATACTCACAAAGTAAATATTATCTTCCAAAAAGGTTACACTTAGACTAATTCCTGACAAATGCTTCTCTCATCTGTTTGTCAGTAACTACAAATATCTATCTAGTGCCTACTCTGCTCTGCACATGGTATTTTCCCTGGCCCTCAGCTGTATACCTCAAAGAAGAAAGATCCTTACTCATACTGAAAGGAAGGAAAAAGCACGCTGCAGCAGAACTTTAACAAAAACAGTGAGTCACTTAACTTTTCCACAGTCTACTCCACAACTGCTTTGAGAAAATGTTTTCAAAAATATTTCCAAAATGCTTTTCAGTGAAAAGTAAGAAGTCTACTTAGTAAAAATGGATATACATTGTCATCTTCAAATGCTGTTTTTCCATAATGTTTTGACACTGCAAAATTACCCATGCCTATAGTGTGCATCCTTCCTACATAGTCTCAGGACCCTTCTTCAGCATCTACAAAGCTGCTAACCCTCTTTTCATAGCTTTGTGGGGTATGAATATCCAGGAGCCTCCTAACACCTCCCCTGATAGTTGTATGGAAGCTGAGAGAGGTAGCAGTTGTGTCCTAACATCCTTCTAGACATAAAATGGATCCTGATGTTTGTTGGCTGATGTTTTATATAGATGTAAATTTAACAAAAGATAAAGATATTTATCTAATAGTATTTTGTAGTGACAAAAGTTTTAGTAATATTCCATGAGGTGATGAGAGTATGATATAATTTAAGATCTCTCTATGGGTACTGGGAACCTTACAGTCTAGCCCTGGCTTGGCCATTAACTAGCCATAAACTTATGCAAGTCAGATAATAATAACCGCAACAAAAGTGAAAATGCAGCATTTCCAAGAGCCTTGTTAAAGAGCAATGTAACTTCAAAGGTGCAGAACACATTATAGCATTAACTACAAGGCAATACACACATTTAAAAACATTTATGGCATTCAGCTTCAATAAAGTAATTAATTTAGTGCTCAACAACAATTAACTCTTCAATTATCTTATCTTTGGGAACTTAAAAATACATGTTGGCACACAGGCCAGCAGCTCCCAAGGACACAATCCAGAATAAATACTTCATTTGAACAACTGCCTTATAAGCAATACACGCTTACTTTTTTTTACTGATGTCCCTACTTATTTGTTAATAACGTTAAACAGATCCTAAATTTGGAAAGTAAAATTACCTTTAGGCTAAAGTTTTTACCAGAAAGATTTTTTTAACATACAGGGAGAAAAGATTTAATCTGATTCATCAGAACGCATTTTAATGTAGTTAGAAATACTTTCTAGCACACTTAAAAAACAATTAGAAGTTATAAGATCACCTAAGAGTCAGTTTTTTAAAAATTTTGGGCTTTGTTTTATATAGATTATATGTATATAGCCACAAACAGCCTCTAAGTTTGCAGAAATAATGTTAAAATCATATATTCAAATCTAGGAATTTAAAAATACCTAGATAAGGAACATTTTAAACTTTCACTTAGATGATTGATGATGTACATTATATTAGCACGTATTTTCTTTACTCATGAAAATTCTTTAGTCGCTGGCACATTTTTAACTGCAATTCCCAAATTATACTGAGTTGTTAGGTTTAAAATTGTCTTTGATCTATAACTGCTAACTCAATAGTTTAAAATGCAGTTTATTATACTAATTTTTCTAGTAAGCAGAAGTTTTTTCAGTTCTGTCATTCAACCTTTGAAAGGTCAAAAAAGAAAACCAAAAAATAACAATAATAGTGTGTAAGTAACCGAAACACATTTTCATAGGTTGATGATAGAGGAGACAAAAGGCCTCTTCTACCTTCACAGGGCAGTAGTGAATATAAAGGGGACCTGGAGTCAGGTCTTAGAGATGCCTGCAAAGAAATCCATGAGCAATTATCAGAAACACTGATGCATATTCAGCCTTATTATTTTCCTTTCTGCCTTCACAGAAATAAATCTTCCTTTAACGGCACCCCGGGCTTTGATGGGATGTCTTCTCCCATCTACCACTTCTTCGACTCTCTCTACCCAGGAAAGAATTAAGGGGTAAGGAGGGGAGAAAAGAAAGCACTGTAAAAATCTAAGAAATTCATGAAAGAAGAAAACCAAGCATTAACTTTACATGGATGCCATGGGGACCAATAAAGGAACTGAAATGAATCTACGGATTGAATGAGAGGTGAAAGGGCACGGACGATACACTGAATGCTTAGTGCACCGTGTGTTAGGAAGGACTGCAGCACAGACGCTATTTCTACACTGAGGCTGATAACCTTAGACAAGTTTCTGAACCCCTCTGACCCTGTTTCCTTTTGCATCTTTCCCATTTCCTGTCTTACTGACGTGGCTGTAGGAAAACTGTCAAGTGATGAAGCCCTGTACAGTGGAAGCCATCACACCAGTTCCTCTGCACGCCTGGGGTGCATTTGAAGACACCAGTAGACAGATGCCTGAAACTGACTAGAGATGGTACCAAACCCTACACACTGGAATAACTACAACTATGTTTTTTTTCCCTGCACATACATCTATAATAAAACTTAACTTATAAATCAGGCACAATAACTAATATTACCATAGAACAATATGCTGTAACAAATGTTGCTCAAACTCACAAACTGCTTATTTCTAGAATTCTCCTTTCCCTGTTTTCAGATGAGCAGTTGACCCCACCCCAGGTAACTGCCACTGCACTTCTCAGATAAGTGGACCATTATATTAATGGTCTGAGCATCTTCTGAGGTAGGGACAGGGCGAGGGCACCCAGAAGATCACAAACCTTTCTTCCATATTTTGATCCTGCCCTCCAGGAGCAGATCTGGGAGGGCAAATAAGCGCAGCAAGGGGTTCTGCAAGGAGGAAAGAGAGGTAAATTAATATTCTGGTCGGCCTGCTTTCCGGTCTCCCAGCCGCTAAGGAACCGCGCGCCGCGGGGAAACCAGGGTGCGGGTCCCGGCCCAGCGGTGCTCCAGAAGTCTTCAGGGTCAGACCGGAAGGGGGTCAGGTCGGTGCCGCGCCAGGCCCGTCTCCACACCTGCCTTCGACAACACGCAGGTGCAGAGCCAGGGCTCACGGCTGGCTGCTCGCCCACTCGGAGCCCGAGTTTACCCGCCCGCAGCTTCCCACTCGCTGTTTCCTAGGCGACCGCCCCCTCCCCGCTCAGCCGCCAGTGCGGCCAGCGCCCGCCCCCTGGCGGCCACGGCGGAAGGGTCACCGAGGGCCCGCGCACGCCTACTCTCCGCGCTCTGGCCGCGCGCGCTCCTTGTCCGCCGCTATGGCGAACCCGGAAGGTTAAGTGTGTGGAGACGGGAGGCGACGTCGTGTTGGGTTTCCTGTGGCCTCCTCGTGGCGTGGGGCCGAGAGTACGCGGGGATGGGCTCGCACCCTCCAGCCCCGTGTCCTGCCCCACGGCGGCCCCTCCGGCCCGGTTTCCACACGTGTTGCTCGGGCGTTAACATGGTGCGTACGGCCTGAGGTGGAGCCTCGATTCCACCTGCGATCCTTTTTGCCCTGCCTGTATGCTCCGCAGAAAAGAATGAAGATTCAGTTTCCCCTTTTTAATTTTTTGCAGATCCTTTTTCATTCGAGGGAGTAAAAAGAAAACTCCCCACCTTGAGCTTTTCACTGGGTCTTCCCGCTCAGGACCGCCCCCCCCGCCCCCCCCGCCCCCCCCCCCGCCCCGAGGCTCACGTGCTCGCGCCCCGAGGGCCTGCCGAGCCTCCTAGAGTGTGTTTCGCATCCTTGAATTTGTCTTTTTAAAAACATCATTTTTTAATTTTTATTTTTAAAATTTTTGCTGTTAGGAATGTTAATAGCTGGGGCTAGAGATTTAGCTCAGCGGCATAAGCGCCTGCCTTGGAAGCAGGCAGTCGTGAGTTGGATCCCCGGTACCGATAAAAAAGAAAAAGACAAAGAAGTTAGGAATGTTAATAGCACATTAAAACTTTGGAATGAAAGGAGTTAATACAAATAAGAATTAGCTTTTGATGAAGGGAGATTTTGTTATCACTAAAAAGTCATTTAAAAATTAACATTTCGAAATAACTTGTATTCCACCTCCCTTTGTTCTATCAGTGTTACATACTTATGAAGTAGTTTGCTGTGATCTGCATATCGATAGTTTTTTAGTTACTTGGTCTTCCCTATAATAAAAACAATAGGTCAAATTATAAGCGCAAATGGAAAAGAGAGCTACCACCAAAATTTTTTAAAGCATGGAGATTTGTTTTAATGGAAAAGCGTTTGTGATTTTTGAACACTTCGAATTCATTCCTACATTATTTCCTATAAATCTTAGACCTGCTTCTTTTATAACAGCCTGGGCCCATTATCAAATATGTACTTTTACCCCATCATTTATCTCCAGCATAGTTTTTCTGAGGTTGCTTGCCAGGTCGTGGTCAAACAGTGAAGCCAGATATAAACCATTTGCCGAGTTTCCTCATTTGACCTTGATTTTCTGTTAGCCCTGCTGTCTTGAATGATGCACAAGTAAAAATAGGAACATATTTATAGTAGAAAGAGCCAAATAAGTTGTTCTTAGCAAACTCACAGAAAAACAAAATCTGATAACAGGTTACGCTTTTTAAAAAATTACTGGAATCTTTTTTTTTGTCAACAATATGATTTTTTAAAAACCATGAACACTTAGTTTTCTATTTTTTCACCTGTTTTCATCGGAGAGTATTAATTCTGCAAACAGATTGTAAAGCAATCAACTAGATATTAATGTTAAATATCATCATAGTTTCTGGATGTTTGAACTAGAGATTAAATTTTTGGTTCAAACTTCTAGTATACCACACATACTACTGATGACAAATCTACTCTTTTAAGAAATGAAAAGCCCTGCTACGGCTTATCAAAAAACTTTGTTCCTGTTAGATTTGAAACAAATCAGTTTACCGAAACATGTTTTCCAAAACATAGAAAGCAAAATGAATACTCTTTTGAGAAGAAAATAGTTCATGCTACCTTTAGAAAGGGTGAAAAATTCAGAAGGATGAGGTTTTTACCCAGTGTCTATTCCCATGTTGCAATATTATAAAGTGAGATGTTTTCCCACTTACATGTAAGGGTCACAATTTTTTTTCCCCTTCAGCCCAGGCCTATCTCTTAAATCTACTTCCTTGTCTTCATCTTGTCAATCCAAGTTTAATTTGAATAACCAGAACCCTGGAAGGCAACAATAATAACTGTCTTTTTTCCTTTGCTGCCTCTGTGTAAACAGTTTTAAAATTACTTTTATCATCTCCTTGTTTTCTGGGTTGTAAGAGGAGCTCAGAATGGTAGCTGAAGTAAGTTGCATGTCCCAGTAACATGGGCCAGATGATACGAGCTGTGACTGAGGGTTTTAGCATATGATACCATGAGAGTGTTCAACAGTACTGAATTGTTACATACTTGTAGTAGTTTAAAAATATGTCCACAAAAGGCTAAACATACAGAATATGCCAAAAAATTCGGAATATACATATGTGGTCAGTTGGCTAAGTTAACAAGGCAAGAATAATCTTTTCAAAAGATTTTATTGTACCTACTGAATATCTATATTTGGGAAAAATATGAAACTTGACCCTAAACAAAAATCATGCAAAAAATTAAAGTGACTCAGACCTGAGCATAAAAGTTAAAACCATAAAACTTCTAGAATAAAACTAAAGAAAATGATGGTGACTGTAGATTGGCAGAGATTTCTAATATAGGACTCAAAAAGAATGGTTCAGAAAAAGAAAAAAAAATCAGATTATTCATATTGAAATCTTTTCTTTAATTTGAAGAATATGAAAATGTGTTGGCACATGCCTGTAATCCAAGCACTTGGGAGGCTGAAGCAGGAGGATCAGTGTAAGTTCCAGGCCAACCTGAGCTACACAGCAAGACCCTATCTTAAAAAACAAAGACAGGATCTGGGATTTAGCTCAGCAGCAGTGCCTGCCTGGCAAGCGTGAGGTTGTGAGTTCGATCCCCGGTACCAGGAAAAATGTGAAAACAAAACAGACAAACAATAACAAAATATGGAAAGGCAAGCCATGATTTGGAGGAAAATATCTGCAATACAGATACCTGACAGAAGTTTGTTAACAAGAATCTATAAACGCTCTTAAAACTCGAGTAATAAAAGAATTAATTGCAGATATCAGAAGAGCAGGCACCGCACAAAGAAGATAAATTCATGGCCAATTAGCTGTGAAAAGACGTTCAACTTCATTAGAGTCACCAGGGAAATGTAAATTAAAACCACAGTGAAATATCACTACACACTCACTGGAATAACTCAATTTAAGAAGGCCAACAGTTTCATGTGTGGATAAGGGTAGAGAGTAACTGGAACTTTTGTATATGGCTTGTGGAAAAATAAAATGAAACAACTATCTTGGAGACAATTTGGTAGCTTCTTATAAAACATATACCCCATGGCCCGGCAGTCCTGTTCTTAGATATTTGTTCAGGAGAAATGAAAATGAATGTTCATGGCAGCATTATTCTTAATAATCTAAATCTGGAAACAATCCACATAGCCATCAATAGGCAACCACATAAACACAAAGTAGAATTTCCACACAAATAAAATACTACTAGAAATAAAAAAGGAATGTACTATGGATGTGTGCAGAAACATGAGTCTCTGAAGAATTTAGCTAAATGAAGAACTCAAGAGTTTAAAAGTATGAAATTCTAGAAAAGCTTGAAAGCAGATCAGAGGTTGCCTTAGTACTAAGGTGTGTGGGGTTTGACTGCAAGGGGAGAAGAAGAGAACTTTTTGGAATAAATAAAATATTTTCATTGTGGGAGTGGTAATAAGGTATATATATTTGTTAAAACTCACTGAAATGAGTATTTAAATGAGTGTATTTTAATGCATGTCAGTTATGCCTCAATAAAGCTAATTTTTAAAAGTTAAATTTTTGCACCCTTTTTGTCAAGATACAGAGTCACTAATCCCTGCCTGAGAACCTAGGTGGTCTTTTGATTGCTTCAACCAATAGAGTATGGTGGTGAAATGGCTATTTATTATGCCTGAGGGCATCATTAAAAATTCATGCAGGTTCGACTTGGATTGTTTGTAATGCCTGCTATATAGATAAAGTGAGCTGTTATGTAAGAAGTCTACTATGGGCCAATCATGCTGGAGATGCCAGCTCTTTGCACTGTGGTCAACTGTTCTAGCTGGATCCACTTTCTAGCTCATAAAATCCCAGACATACAAGTGAAGTCATATTGGATCCACACTAGCAGCCCATCTTCATCTAAGTATTGCTGAATTAGTACTGTGTGCCATAAAGAGAGACAGAGATATAATAAAGTGGTTATAGAGCACTGGGGAGAACATGGCGGACAGATAACAGATAATACGGAGGCTCTCTGAAAGGCTTGGTTCAGAAGTCAGGAAGGGTGCGGAGTAAGGAGACACAAGCAGGTGGAGATATGCTCTGCTGACTCAGGAATGAACTGGGCTGAGAGAAACCAACTTGGAATGCAGTCCTGGTGCTAAAACAGGAACAGAAAAGCCTCAGTGTGGAGACTAGACCCTGTGCCATTGGAAGCCGCGATTTGGGTTTTCCGATTTGGGTTTTCCGCCGTGCAGCGGCTGGCTGCCTCTTCAGCGGCTCAGCAAGGAGACGCGCGGAAGCTCTGAGAACTGCAATCTGCGAACGGAGTCGAAAACAGGATGGGCAGGGAGGCGTGCACTGACTTGTGGTGAAGTGAGTGAGAGAAACTGACACTCTACCACAGTTTGACTCCAGCGGAGGACTTTCTGGGCCTGGGCAGTCCTGCGGGAGTAGGGCGCGGTGGCGACTCCAGCCACACATCCCCCTCTCGGGCGGGATTGGTGAAAAGTGCCTGGCCTGCGTGACGCTGCTGGTGGACCTGGTAGGCTGGCCAACCCAGATCCCAGAGCCTGACGGTGGCCGGGAGGGGCGGACCCCGCGTAGGCTGCCTGGTCTGTAACTCCCTGGTGCGCTGCGGTGGGAGGGAACACCTAGCCGGAGCAATTCGATCAGGCTGTGGCTAACAGGGAGAGAAGCTGGGTCTCCTATATAAGCTTGCATATATAAGGAACAGAGAATATGGGAAGAGGCAGCAACAAGAAAGGCTCCTCGGCCCCCAATTCTGAGAAACAGGCAATAGTGGACACCGCACCAATAGACATAAAGCGCCATATAGAGAGCCTCATAGATCAGTTCAGGAATGAAGTTATCAATGACCTGAAGCTAGAAGTATGCAGAATAGTTTGAGAAATGCTAAGCACCACCCAAGAAAAAACAGACGGTGGAATGGAAGAACAGAAAAAGAGGGGAGAATTGTTTGATGGAGAAAACAGAGAAAGCATAGAATACGTGAAGCAGGTTCAAAGGGACTACCAAGAAACTAAGAAGTCTATCGAAGACTGGCATAACAGCTTGAAAGAAACTAAGGACAGACTATCTGAACTGGAGGGCAGACTTGTAATATGGGAGAATGAAATGAAAAACTTCTTAAAAATAACAAAGAAACAGCAATAATACAAAGACAAGAAGATGATAAGAGGATCCATAACTTAAGGATTAAGAACATAAAAGAAGAAGTAGGGACACA